CCTGCCCCAGGCCCCGAGCTGAGGACGGAGAGCCCGGAGGACAAATCTCCCCAGCAGACCCTGGTGGGAGAGGCCGTTTTGAAGGGCTCCACGGCGCAGGAAGGCAGCAGGGAGGAAAAGGCCCAGAGATCCCCCCGCAGGAGGGGCTCCAAAGCCAGCCCAGGGTACTCTGAGGAGGAAAGAGGCAGCCTGTGCTGGGAAGGCGGCCAGACCTTGAGGCAGAACTCTGACCTGGTGGTACCTGAGCAGCCTCCCAGCAGAGAGAAGCCCTTCAGGTGCTTGGAATGTGGGAAGAGCTTCAGGACTAGCACAGACCTGCTCCGACACCAGCACATCCACACTGGGGAACGTCCCTACAGGTGTGGGGAATGTGGGAAGAGCTTCAGCCGGAGCTCCACCCTGATCCAGCACCGTCGCATCCACACTGGGGAACGTCCCTACACGTGTGGGGAATGTGGGAAGAGCTTCAGGCATAGCTCCACCCTCCTCAACCATCGTCGTATCCACACTGGAGAACAGCCCTACACATGTGGGGAATGTGGGAAGAGTTTCAGTGATAGTGGCAACTTCCGGACCCATCAGCGCATCCACACCAGGGAGCGAGCCTACAAGTGTTTGGAATGTGGGAAGAGGTTTCAGACCAGCTCAGATCTCCTGAAGCACCAGCGGACACACACAGATGAGAGGCCCTTCCACTGCACTGACTGCGGGAAGGGCTTCAAGGAGAACTCCACCCTCATCACCCACCAGCGCATCCACACCGGGGAGAGGCCCTACAAGTGCGGAGAGTGTGGGAAGAGGTTTCAGTCCAGCTCCAATCTCCTCATGCACCAGCGGACACACACGGATGAGAGGCCCTTCCGCTGCACCGACTGTGGGAAGGGTTTCAAGCAGAACGCCAACCTCATCAGACACCGCCTCATCCACACCGGGGAGAGGCCCTACACGTGTGGGGAGTGTGGGAAGAGCTTCACCTGGAGCTCTGCCTTGACCAAACACCAACGGACCCACCGGTAAGGGAAGCCCTCGAGTGCCTCAACTGCGGGAAAAGCTTTGGCCGCTGCTTCCACCCTGAATGAAGCCCCTGATGCTGAGGCAACCCCTGGAGTCCAGTGACTGTTAGTCCATCCTTTTCAACCAGAAAGGGCCAGTCCCCTTTTGCAGGGGCAGGTTCTTGTAACGGTTCATGGTTTAGGAAGAATCTAGCAAATGATTTTGGGACTTGTAGTTTTCTGGGCTCTCACTCATGCTCAATGAAATACTACAATGTCATTGGTTGAAAGATCATGTGACACAATTTAAACACTGTATTTAAACTGACACCCTTTGTAATAAAGTAATTCTTCTCTCGCTCCCCTTGGTGTGAGTAGCGGGGTTCGTGCAAAACAAGCACCTCAAACGGCACCTGATTTTTTTGGGAAATCAACAGACATCGAAAACCAGGAGCATTGAGCTGTGGGGTGCCTGCCCAGAGGTGTTCTATCTCACTAAAATCAAAAGGAAAAAGGAAGAATTCAGTGTGCTTGGTTACCTCTTCAAAACAGGTCAAAAAAGGAAGAAAAAAAGGACGAAAAGGACAACAGAAGAAAACTTCAGCTTCAGCACACAGAGGTAACTTAAGAAATCTAGTGAGATGGGAGGGTGGTGTTCCCAAAAGGAGAGGATTTCTCTGGAAATTAAACAGACAGCTGAAGCAATTAACCACTTTTTACAAGAACAGAAACATAGAAAAAAGCAAGTTATGGGATTTATTGTATTGGATTTCCATAAATGAACCGGCTCTACTTTTAACTGGAATTCACCAAGTGCTATCTTGGAGAAAAATTGGGAACAGGTTAATTGAAAAAACAAGTGAAGGTGATATGGAAGCTCTCAAGAACTTAGCTGCATGGAAGGAAGTTATGGTTGCCTTGAACTCTCATTATAAAAGAGCAAACACAGCTGGGATAATGGACTTTTTTACCCCCAGCCCCACTGCAGCCCCAAACACCCCCCCGACCGCATGGCAAGGCAGTGATGATATTGGGGAATTCCATGGGCGAGGGAGAGAAGAGGGGGAGAGGGAGCCCCAAGGGGGTCGGCACGGAGGCGGCGTGTAGTGTAGAAACGCATGGCGCTGGGTTAACACTGGAGCCATGTACTCCATTTTCCACACACCCCCCGGCTGCCACCGCGACTGCGTGGCTGTGCGCGGGGTTGGGTGCGGCACTTGCCGCGGGCAGTGCCCCCCCCATGCACGTGGCCGCTTGATTTCCCGCCACGGCGAGCCCGGTCCCTGCAGTGGGGGCTCAGTTGCTGATCGAAGCTGCCGTTGGACCGCGCGCCGAATGGTGCAGAGCTGCCGGTGTGGCCCTGGTGGCTGTGCAGCCATGCCGGTACTCACCGCCGCCACAGCAGCCAAGGTTGCCACGAAGCCGCTTGTGGCCGCGCCACCCCCCAGGTGCCGTGGCAGGGTGCAGCACGGGGGAAATTGGCGCGGGGTCGGCAGGAACCCCGTTTGCAGCACCAACCGCACCGCTGCCAGGCGGAGCAGGAGCGGCAGCAGCATGCACCACTCGGCTCAGTGCCTAGTGTGAGCAGCGCTGCCAGACCCACTGCTTTCACGGTTCCGCGCACACCGTTGCCGACCGTAGAGGCGGGGAGGCAGCGCACGGGCGGCTGCCATGGAGGCAAGGGAGGCTCGCTGGTTCCTTTAGGTTATGCGGCAGCCCCGACCTTGGGATCACTGCAGAGCGACCACGTAGCGAGGTGGAAGCAACCATCTTACTCCTGCTGCGAGGCGGAAATGCAGGTGCCTCTTCCGTCCCCACCAGTTACACAACCAACGTGGGACAAACACACAGCCACAAAGACACCACCATGTTACTCCCGCCAAGGAGCCAACCCACAGCCCCTGCCGGCTTCAGAGCAAATGCAACCACCACCAAACTCAGAGCAGCTTCTACGTCAGAGACAGCCTGATGAAAGAAAAGGAGAACTTAACTCCCCAGAGATGCTGGCCAAGCTGTGGCAGCTCGGGCTCGGTGGGACAGAAAAACTGACAGAAGGACAGGCAGTTTTAGATCCTGCAGAAGAAGAAGCGCAGCAGACATGGCTACAGGTACTGCTTCAACCCGAGGAGGAGAATACAGACAGGGAGAGCGCATGGAACATATGCCTGCCCGAGCTGAGACTGTCAGTGAAGTCAAAGCTGCCGGTGCTAAGATGGACAGTTTATATATTGGCTACGCTATCAACACTAGCAGCCCTTGGCTTTGTGCTGCGGGAATCTCAGCTGGGACATCACAAACCACCCACCAACACAGCTAGCAATACAAAGGTAATACTGCAAAGCGCAGCAGACATACAGCTATCAGCTGCTATATTTAACTTTCTAAGTCACAAAAAGGCAACCTTACTAATTGGGAAATTATCTGCTATCTTAAAAGGTTCTTTTTTGTTTCTAGGGGGAAGGATGGACATGCTGGGAGGGACCCTAAATCAAGTGTTTACTTCTCACAATCTTAAAATGCTGTTTCACGTAATGGGAATTGATATGCAATACACAACATGGGCAGCCAAAACAAAACAAGTAGCAAAGAAACAACCAGTTACAAATTCAGCTGCAAAAACACATAACCCTTTACAAACAACTACTGCAAATGCTTTGATGAGGCAAAATAAACAAGTCTCTCACACAATACAAGCCCAAAGATGCCCTACTGGGCTGCAACAAATGACACAGATAAAGATACACACCTTTAAATCCATTCAGGACACAAACACGCATAAATTGCCTTTTACCCAAATTAAGCAACTAGAACAAGAGGCAAAGACAGAAATATCAAACATTTTTAACAGCAGAACAAACGTAACAATCGTATCTGCCTCACAATGGCCCTTAAAGAACACCCAAACCTTTTTAGCAAGTATTCCTAAACTAGCATCCCCAAAGAAAAAAACAGAGACATCATAGCCATCAATAGCCCAAACATTAACTCTGTTTCCATTAGTCCCACTGAAATCACTCATTCTGTAGAGCAGAGACTGCTTCAGTGAAGGGGAGAGTCAATTAACAGCAGATTCTTCCTAAAAGCAACTCTATTGCAGCTAAATCCACAGGCAACCCAAGAAACAGATAGCCCTAAATCAGTGAAACAGTGGCCTTTCCTTAGGGCAGAGCTGATGCATTTACATACACTACTAGAGGACCATAAAAACACAGCCCTCCTATTAACAAAAAGCCTTTCGCTAATCTATTTGTCTTTCAAACCTAAAGAAAGATGGATTTTCATACTTTTTGCCCCTGTCTCAGAGTGGGAAAAGATTGGAGTTTTTGAAAACCGAGATTTTACAACTTACTTTTTGATTAAAGAAAAAGGTAAAAAACACTTCTTGCATAATTGCCTTTGCAAAGAAAGAGATAATATGTTACCCTTCAAACATAGTAACAATAATTTACTGCTTAGCAACTGGGTGGAGTTAGATTTTATCATCTCTTACCCTATCTCTATTCCTGTCAAAACTTTCCTAATAACTTTTTGGCTAAACGAACAGGTGGCTTGCCTTTTGGTGAGGGAGACAGCAAACAAACCCCTCTTAGCCCTCACTCAAAATCTCCCTTCCTACATAATATGAGAGAAGAAAAGCAAAACATAGCAAACTGAAACTTTATCAACTGTTCGCTCACACCACTGTGAGGGAAAAAAATCCTCTTTATTGTCTAAAAGCCCTTACGATTACCTTTCACTATGTAAATTGGTGTCGTTGTTAACTAAGAATATCTCCACAAAACCAGAACACTGAAGCTTTAGAGGTTTTTTCCTATTTTTTCATTAGTTTCCCAGTGGCTTTATTTAAATTGTTAAAGATAAAAGTTGTTAGAAATTGTTAAAGTTGTTAAACTCTCAAATACATCTGCATAGATGCAGTTTTTATGATAATGTTGTTCAAATAATGAGTTTAGAATTTAAACATCCCCATATTTGTTAATTAATACATTCAAACATTCTCAAAATATTTTGCTATCACAGAACAGTGTGCATAATGTCAACAAAAGTGCAAAATAGCTACTTGTAAATCAAAACTGCCTAAGAGACCGAATTAAAACTGATTATGGTTGCTTTAACTGATATTATTAAGAAATAGGACTGTAAAATGTTCCAGAAAAAGTTCAACAGACCCAACAATGGAACAAATCTCAGATAGAGAAGACTACACAATGAAAGATCATCTCTAAACCTTCAACTTTGAGGTAAAAGACACTATAACAAAGAATAACTCACCACTATTGCTTCAAAAACTCCAGATTCAGCTGATCCTCACATCTGTTCCTGCCCACTCTCCATCAAAGACTGACTGAACTGTTATTAACAAATTTGCTAAGATTGTTTTTAAAGGTAAAGAACAACTACAAGAAATGAATGAACGGAACACCGGAACCATCTGCATCTGGAAAAACAAAAGAGGACAACTGAACAATAAGGTACAGACCTTGGACCGGGGTTCTGTACAAGTTTTAGAACCTACTCCTATCCGTATGACATTTAAGTTTTTTTGTAATTAACCTATGAATGTTATAACTGATTCACGCTATGCTACAGAGTTACTTTCACACCTCGAAGCCTCCTTCCTTCGAGATTTCACTAATCCTTATTTACTTATAAAAATACACACCATATAATTCCTTGTTAGTCACACAAAATCTAACTTTTACATAATGCACATCCATTCACACATATTCCAAATACAGTAATGCAACAACACACACTAGAAAGGGGCAAAAGACGTTATCAGACACTAACTTAATTGTTTTGCAATTTTAGAAATTCCAAAAACAATAAACACAAACAATGATCCTGTATATTATTCAACAAAAGCTAAAACATATCTCACAAATCAGAAGATATTCCATTCCACAACATACTGCACTTCTTATTGCTATAATCAGTTACCATGGCAACCATGACACATTTCCATTGCTACAGTCAGTTACCATGGCAATCATCATACTTCCCACTGCTACGGTCAGTTACCATGGCAACCATCTTACATTCCCATTGCCATAGTCGGTTACCCAGGCAACCATCATACATTCTTTATGCCATGGTTGTTACCATGGCAACTATCATACATTTCCCC